AATAATTGAGTATACATCATTACTATAGTGGTCTTGTGAAAATACGTAACTTGAATACAATAATGTGAGAAAATATGAGACAAAACAAAATTTAGGGAAATTATACAAAATAACTGGTCTGTATTTTTCAAAAGTATCAAGGTCAAGAAATATAAGCATCAAGGAACTATTCCAAATGAAACGAGACTACGGGGACATGAAAACCATGCATGATCTGGGTTTGAACACAGGCAAAGGGAAAACATTTTTTATAAAACACATTATTAGAACAACTGATAAAATCTGAATATGAACCCTGAACTAGACAATAGTGTTGTTATATCAATTTTAAATACCCTCATTTCTGTTAACTAAACCAGGCTGTCTGTAAGAAAGTCCTTATTCTAAGGAAATACATATTGAACTCATCAGAAGAAAAATACTAGCAACTGAGACTTAATGATGGGATACATTATTTGGACTAATCCTTGCAATGAACGAATAACTAAAAACTACTAAAAAATCTTTTAAAAATCGGCCAGGTGTGGTGACTCACACTGTAATCCCAGCACTTTTTGGGAGGCTGATGTGGGTGGATCACTTGAGGTCAGGAGATCGAGACCAGCCTGGCCAACATGGTGAAACCCCATCTCTACCAAAAATATAAAAAATAGCTGGGCATGGTTGCACACACCTGTAATTACAGCTACTTGGGAGGCTGAGACATGAGAATCACTTGAACCCAGGAGGCAGAGGTTGCAGTGAACCAAGATCCTGCCACTGCCCTCCAGTCTGGGCAACACAGTGAGACTTCAAAACAAAAAACTTAGTACTGGAAGTCCTAGCCAGAGCAATGAGGCAAGAAAAAGAAATGAAATGCATTCAAATAGGAAAAGAAGTCAAACTGTCTCTCTTTGATGATGACATGATTCCATAAAAAACCCTAAAGAGGGCCAGGCGCGGTGGCTCACGCCTGTAATCCCAGCACTTTGGGAGGCCGAGGTGGGTGGATCACGAGGTCAAGAGATCGAGACCATCCTGGTC